TCACGTGAGCTCTCGACCAATGAGATCGCTTTATTTTCCATCGTGTTATCTGCAGAATTTGGACAGAAGAATTTGCATTCGACGGAAAATAAATCGGAATAAATATTAATATTAAAATTTTCTTGCAAAATCTCAAGTGTTGTAGCACTACTACAGACTAAAGATCTGGTGATATCTGCAAAAATCTCCGAGGTAAACTTTATTTTCAATGTTATTTTGATATTTGAAGTTAGTCGATTCCCCGCGAAGTGTTGCCTCAAGTCTAAATAATATGTTTACAATGTTTAAAATGAAATATCTAGAATTCCCATGGTTCGATTTTCTTCATTCTTGGTAGTCGTCAAGACGTGTAAGCTATAAACCTGCAGGAATGATCCCAGTGATCCCCCGGTAGTTTTCGAGTTTTAGATTGACGTACGACTTTCAAACCGCGAACGGCAAACCGCAGGTAGACGTTCGCGGTTTGAAGTTTGCAGTTTGTAATAAAAATTGCATTTAGTTTGACGTTTAAAGTTTTCGCGCGAAACGAACAAATTCAAAATGGCGGGAGCTAGAAGGTATGTAGAAGTCTTGTGAAAATCGTCTTTTTTCCCGATAATTAGTTTTTAATCTATTTTATTTCTATATTAACAAGTACCGAATCTATCTGTAGACGTAACTTTGACCAAATTTTGAACTATATGATGTACACTTCTGATTCTGATGATAGTTCAAGCAGTGATAGTGATGATGATATCGATTTGCTATTTTTTGAAACGTGTTTTGCTACAACACGAGAACTAGGAACTCGGATTAATCTACAAGACATTTCCGAAGATGACTGTGAGAAAATGTTCAGGTGATATTTTTCTGCTTTGCGTAATAACTAATATTTTGAAAAGTTGGATTACAATGTCAAGGACTTTCAAATTTTTTACCCGTAGATTTGAAAAGTACGATATACCTCGTCTGCGAGATGCACTGAAAATACCGGATCGGTATACCTGTTGTCAGGGGACCGTTGTAGGTGGATTGGAAGCTCTCCTGATAATGTTACGCAGATTGGCATATCCAAATAGATTGAGTGATTTGACACCTATATTTGCAAGAACCGAATATGAACTAAGTCTAATTTTTAACACGGTATGAAGTTGTGTCTTAATTTTCAGCCATAAAATGTTCCAATTTTTAATAAGTTGTGACTTCCTACTGTATCTATCGTTTTAGATACTGGATGACATTTATGAACGATTTAACTATCTGTTGACGTCAATCGACTTAGTTTGGCTTGGCCCAGATCTCTTTTCAAGAGTCATACATGCCAAAGGAGCCCCACTAGATCAATGTTGGGAGTTTATTGATGGGACTCCCAGGCCTATTGCACGACCAATACGTAACCAGAAAATAATGTATAGTGGGCACAAAAGGATTCATTGTTTAAAATTCCAGGTACGTTATACTGTAAGATGCCAAGTCAAACGTATTGTCTGACAAATTAAGGTCAATAAATGTATCAAATTTCCTAAGGCACGTGCAAATATATACTTTTAAAAGGTAGTAGTTGGTGGCATTGTACAATCTCACTAAAAAGTATACTGAAATTTAATATTCTTTCCATTTCAGTCCGTCCAGGCACCGAATGGGCTAATAGCAAACATGTTTGGACCAATCGAGGGCAGCCGACACGACGCATTTATGCTCGGAGTAAGTGGCCTACAGGAAAAATTAAGACAGCTGACAAAGCCCGACGGGGAACCTTATGTTATTTATGGTGACCCAGCGTATGGGTTGTCGTATAACATATTGGCACCATACCGAGGCAACAATTTGTCCGATGCTCAGAAAGTATTTAACCGAGAAATGAGCCGTGTTAGAGTTAGTGTCGAGTGGGGTTTTGGAAAAATCTCACAGATCTTTGCCTACTTAGATTTTAAAAAGAACCTAAAAGTCCTTTTGCAACCTATTGGAAAATACTACTTGATCGGAGCACTTTTGACCAATTGTCATACTTGCTTATATGGTTCACTCACAAGCTCTTTTTTTTAATCTTGAACCACCAGTGTTAGAGACATACCTAAGTAACTACATTAACTAACCAACTACATGTAATTAATAGTGGCTAAAAGCTATTTTGCCAATACGAAAGATAGGCAGTATATAGTAACGGTAGCAATCAACATCCTTATCCATCACTTAAAATACTAACAATATAAGTGTTGTGCATGAAACCCAATGTAATAGAATATAAAAGTATTTGTTTTGATAATAAACTTTTCAATGTTGCATGTTGCTCCTGCTAAGCACTAAGCCCAACATTGCTCTTCTTTCTTCTAATTCGACTTCTAGCTCCATTTTTCGAATTTCCAACTCCTTTTCTTTCAATTCAGCTTTTTTTTCGTATTTATTAGCAAGCATTTCCATAGCAGTTAACTTTGTTTGCCGTGGTCTGTTACTTTTGCTATCTGTAGATTAAATAAAGTTCTATCAACATTTTTTTTGCGTTTGCAACAAACTTTTCAAGTCCAGACATCATTGTCTGTTCTACAAATGTTTCATTCAAACAATAGAGTAAAACATTATTTTCTGATGGAAATTTCGTACCTTTGCGCACCATCTTTTTGATCAATTCTTCATCTTCACTTTCTTCTTCACTTGAATGAATCGAGTCTTGGTTATCATCATATGCTAAAGACAGTAAGGATTATATCAAAATTTAAAATTTTTAACAAGGGTTTATAAGGAGAAGATACTATAGAATATTTTTAAGAAAACATTTAAGTTACTTGCTTTTGGAAGACAAATTGAACAACTAAAATTAGCAAAACAGAGATTCAAGTCATTCAAATAATAGCCAGTCAACCTAGGTGCCACAGACAACTAAAATTGTTTAAACAGTGATAATTTAAAGCTACAGTATGAAATGTAGCAAATAAAAATTTTAGGTAAACAGTAAATACATGTATGCCCAATTTTGAATGGATAAATAATTACATCAGTCTATTGGTAAACATACTTTCTCTCCTCTTTTCCATGGCAGCCCTTCTGATCATTTCTGCCTTTCTTTTTCCATTCTCAGCTTGGTTCCGTTTCTCTTCTTTTTCTTTATCCTTTAGCACCATCATATCCCTTCGGAATGTTGATATGTCTTCTAGTAGTTGCTTTAATTTGTTATAGTCCTCCTCAGCACCAGATCTATTAAAATTGCAATAGACTTTTAATTTTAAAATTAATGAAATTCAAGTCTTACATAAAATGAATCACACTGAGAAACTATTAAATATTATCACTGAACCAGACCACAATTTATTTGCTAAGTAGCATATATACAATACAAGCACTTGATAAAAATTAATGAAAATTGAGCAAAAATTATGGTTTGAGAAATGGTATGCATATATGTACTATGACACAGCTCCACAAACACTTATGCACAACCAGAAAGAGATATACTACCATTGCTTGCAACTAAATATGAATGACGCAGCTCAAAACATTGTGTATTTTGAAAAAAACATTAACTATTTGCACAGAAGTATTCAATGTTTGTCAATACTATTTGACCGGTTCTAATCTGATTGGGCAATCATATTTAACTAGCTCCAAGCTAATTGGCTGACCTAATTGAAGCCTTCAAATGCTTGTTACAAACTTTGGACTTTGTCGTGAGAATGTACTATGTTTATATTCTGACTAAATGTTTGGATCCTAACCCAAAACGATATACGTCTGACTATGTTTAGATCCTAATCCACCAGTATGGAATGAAGGTGGTACGCACGGCAACGTTGCTCCTGCTAATATATTTACTAGTATTTTGGTGCACATTTTGTCAAATGTGCAGTGCACAAAAAGTGTCATTCCATACAGGCTAATCCATAAACATAGCCCCAAACCCCAAACTAATCCTAACCCATAACCCAGTGGCCCTAACCCATAACTCGGTGACCCCAACCCATAACCCTATCCCCAAACCTTACTCCAAGGCCTAAACCCTAATCCCGAGTCCTTGGCTCAAGGCCTGACCCCAATCCTAACTCGATATTTAGGTACCCTCGATCAGAAACCACTTTAATTGAATAAACACAAACTCTATTTATACCTTTTAAGTGATTTTGCATCTTCTTGTTTGTATTTGGACAGAAGTCTGTCCATTCTCTCACGGCAACCTCTTGCCTTCAACTCGACAGGTTTTCCATCAGTACTAAAGTGTTCACTCAGACGAGTTCCAATTTTATCCCAATCGTTTGGCTTTTCGGGTCGAGAAGCTGCCACTTCCCTTGCCAATGCAATGTCATTTTCAATACTTGGCCAGCGAAATGGACCCATATTCGGTGTATATTATAATCTAAAAAAGACAGATTGATGGGATATAAATAATATTATCTACACATTGAAAGTAGATTGTACCAGAAGTTATTAATAAATTATGATTTTGCAGGAGTGGTAGTGATAGTACGCTAATGAAACAAATATCATTCAGTGCAGGACATGTGCTCGCCATCTTGTTTATTCAAGCAAGCAAAGTATGATTTTCGTACAACAATAACTAAAAAACTCATTATCATATTGCAAATTTAAGTTCATAAGGAAGACTGGGTAAACTTACAAACATATGTTTATAATTTACGTGAGATATTTAAAAAAAAACACACATAAAAACTTTGAGGGAATTCGCTTACCTGAAAGTCGCACTCCTCGCGTTGAAACGTGATAAATTTACGTCGAACCTGACGGCAAAATCGTAGTCACGTGATTTTTTGCGGTTTGCGGTTTGACGTTATCAAGTAAAAACGCCAGTCTAAAACTCTCTAATAATCGCGTCGTACTCATGGGCGATTTAATTTCGCGCACCTTCATATTCGCGCAGCTTTATATTCGGGCAAGAAATTTTCCGTGTTCGTTCTTTTTGGTTTGTTCAATAGAACTATTAACAATTAACGTACTTATAACGAGTATTTTTTATCAAAACTTAATCAAAAAGCGATTAGGTGGCCTCAAAAATGGTTTCAAAATTATGTAATAAAACTAAAACATTTATTGTATGGTTCTCATTTGCCTAATACAATAACAATAATCTTTTATTAGCATTCCCATACATTATAGGTTCATAAATGGTATAAAACTACCGTGTCGGTGGCCCACAAGTGCAACACACAAATATATTTCAAGCACACAAATATATCTCAAAACACACACAAATATATTTAGCTAGAGTTCAAATGGATCCTCTTTTCGTTGTGGCCTCCAATGCGGCGCTCACACCTGATCGTTGCCACCTTTGACGACAATGTTTGAGGATCTGTGTCAAAATGCAAGCATTCGTGACGGAATGCTACGTGGAATCTGAGAATATCCCGACTGAAATTGTCCGGGACCGGGAGGAAGACATTCTTTATTTTTAATATTGACAGGACAACTTAAAACATATGATATGTCGAATGTGTAGATGTGCGATAATAAATCAACTGATTTGCATTACCAACAACCGGTGTCTCATATTACATCACAAAGCTTTTCGCGCGGATTATATTTCGCACATTACTAAAATTCGCGCAACCCAGCGCTGCGCGAATTCTAGTACTGCGCAAATTTTAATACAAGTAAGGTATATGAAATTGTAGTAACAAGTCATGTTATGCAAGTTTTTAATGATTTGCAGGTTTATTAGCATAGCATGACCAGTTGCCATGGCTAGCTTGCCACTGAATACTGTACAATGTCATATTGCCATATATATCAACAACGATAATACTTGAATGAATCATTGGACATGTAGAGTTTAGTTTAATAATGGCTAGCTTCATGCACCATTAACAGTATAATTATAATACAAAAGCAAGAAGTTATAAGCATTGAAGGGATTCATATAAAGCCGCCCATGCCAAGAAAGTAGAATTAGAATATTTAGCTGACCTTCGACTTTGTGCCTTTCGGTCTTTTCCTGCATCCTGAACAGGCGTATTAGCAATCTCGTACCCAGAGTATGCCCGTTCGCAAGTTAGGTCATGCCCAGCACCTAACCTGTGAACTTGCATACTCTGGGCTGATGGGATGATTTTGATGTATTGAAATAAGTCACTAGGCTAAACGAAAGTTCAAATGCTGGCTAACCGAACTCAAATGTTGTAGAGAAGATCATGTAGTTCAAGAAGACTTTTATAGCTTTTTGAACAACCTTTCGTTTACAGTTAACTATGATCTATCTCTAGAAAATAAAGTTTTTCACAAAATCATCGCGCCTTAAAGTCTCGTCCTGGCAAAGCGGTTTAAGCGGGATCCGTATAAACAGGCCTTATTCAGCAAATTGCGTATGCTCCCTTGCCTTTGAACCCTTGGGGGTGAGGCAGCAGATGGTATTCTGAGTATCTCCACACCAGGTAAGCTGAAAAATTGCTTGACCAGGGTGGGATTCGAACCCGCGACCTATAATTGAACTTTCTAACTACGAATAGAATTTAATACGCGTGAAGGGATGGAAATATTTGAGCTTGTTTAATTACTTTAAAAAACAAAGTCCTAAATAGAAGATCGGAAATATTATATCATTGACACGACGAATGAATGGTGTACGCGAGCTAGCGTTCACCTGAATTAATTTGCGTGAAATTAATTTACATTCATTGATAATCTCATCCAGACGTGTATACAATGAAAGTTGTCCAAAATATTTGCTGATGTTTTGTAATTGTGCACTTGCATGCTACAGTATACCAGGGCCCGCGGAGCGTATTAGAGAGTGGGGGGGGGGGCTAAAGGGTGAGGTTTAATTAATTTAGAAAGTTTCATTTAGATTTCTATTTTAATAATTTTGGCTGTCAAAAAAAGTGGGGGGGCTAAAGCCCCCCCAGCCCCCCCGTCTCCGCGGTCCCTGTATACTGGCGTACAGCACTTCTCATAAAGTAAATGCCTATTTACTAATCGTTAATTGTTGTGGTTGAAATTATTGTTTCATATAAGCTTTACGTATAGGTAATCATGCAATGGCGAGTACAATTAGGGATTAATAGTACGAGTGATGTTTGGAAATTTTGCCAAAATTGGACGAGCCGCCGGGGCGAGTCCAATTAGGCAAATTTCCAAACATGACGAGTACTATTAATGCCTAATTGTACGAGCAACATCGCATGATTACTTGTTTATTATTAGCATGACAAAATTGGATACTTCTCAATGTTAACATCACTATTCTCTCGCCAAAGTCCAGTCCTGCCAGACTTTCAACCAAAATTTGGTGTTTTTGTCCGTATTTTCATTCAGTTCTTTTGGTTAAAGCATAATTTGGTGCTTTTGTTCGTATTTTCATATAGTTCCTCTAAGGCAATTTCATTTCACACTAGACTTTCGCAAAGTCCTTTTCAAATGACGTCACTCTATTTCGCGCGGTTCCGCTTAGGTTCCTCGTTGAAAAGGACTTTTCCAGCCTGTTTCCCGCCAATTCACCGGTGCAGAAATGCACCGGTGACGTCACTCGAAAACTGATTAAATTCACTCAGCTATGACGCCATTTTGTTTTTGTTGAATATCTAAAAGTATACATGTATGTATAAAAAGAAGACAATGTTTATATAAACAGTGTAAAATGTACTCAATAGAAGAAGGCATACAACATGGTCTTGACAAATTGGGATACCAGGCGTTACGAGACGGTCAACAAGAAGTTATCGAAGCTTATCTCAAGGGTAAAGATGTGTTTTTTGTTCTCCGACTGGATCGGGCAAGAGTTTGTGCCATGAAATTGCCAAATTGCTCCGAACATTTTTGATTTCGTATTATTTGGGAAGAATTCTGTTAAGAGATAAAGATGTATCGTGGATCCTGTATGTATCGTCTCCTTTGATATCATTGATGCAAGATCAAGTGGCATCTTTGCGTAAAAGGGGTATCGAGCCTATCGAAGCAATTCATATTGGTACTGACATTACTTCGTAAGAAGGGGACGATGTTAATCTTTGTTGATATTTGCCAGTCCCGAGGCACTGCTGGAAAACTTAGATTCTCTTAGAGCTGTGTTTGTCGATGAGTGTCATATCGAATAATTATTTGTTACGTCTTACGAAGACGGAAAATGTTACAGCAAAGACCATGTTTAATAAGTGAACTTAAGTCCGTATTAAATGTAAATTTACATTTCAGTGAATTGTTTGTAATGTAAGACATACTAACTGAATATCTAACACTTTTCTGGTTCGCAATTGTAAATGAATATAAACTAGAGTACGTTTCAATAATAATTAAATTCAAAAAGTTCGAAAGATGCAAAATTTGGGCAATGTTTATATCTGTGGGTTCCCCTTTTGTTATGAGCAGAACTGATGCGTATAGCGGACTTGACGTGGTCTTTAAACTGAGTTAACAAAGACACCTATACTCCTATAGTCTATACATGCATGCACTTTTATCATAACAATCAGTAAAGTTTTGTCCGGGCTCAGTGTTCTTCGTTATTGCCAGTTTTAGGCTCAACATGTCCTTATTTTGTTCTTATATATTGTACACTCAGTTGTAGTTCAGAGGATAACTTGTTTAAAGATATATTATTTGTCATATAAAATAGCTCATAAATGTATATTAAATATACATTTAATGACATACCTTCACTGACGAAAATTCATCTGATACTTGAACAGCATCAGTTTGCGTCGTTTGCTCATTAATTTGTTTTAAATGGGATCACAGGTATATATATTGGTCCTATTGGAGAGTTCTTGGCAACTTTGAGAAGAGTCTTCTTGCGCAAAAACAACCCGCCTCTTGACAGGATTTTTTGATGCATCTGAACTCTCAGAGGTTTCTTTCTTTCTTTCTCTCCCGTTTTGTAACTGATTCAGATTGTTTTTCAGCCAAGCGTTCTGCATGTAGTTTAATAAATTAAATTGTCCTCTTACAGCGTCAATTTTAGAAATTAAAGAAAGACCCGCATTAACGGCCCTTTGAAAATCACCTATGTGAAAGGTTACCGTGTTTAAAGATCATTAATAATAATAATAATCTATCGACATTCAATTTATTCAGGATTTAGTCACAACAATAACAACCAAATATTTTGCCTAAGCATGCAAATTCAAAAGCGGCAACCAGTAGGATATCGATTCAGCGTTTTGGCTTATGCTTACGTCTCGATAATGATATCAAAAGAGGCTATAAGTCTGCTTTCGTCCGTAGATGCAGGTCAACTAATAAAACACTCCTGCTCGTTTATTAAACAGTACTTCAAACACTCATTAATAATTCATAAGCTTATTGGCAAATCATGTCAACCATAATATGTCACGTGCAGTGGCTTTAAACGTGATAAAACACTCCTAATTAGTATTCTTTATATAAAGAATACTAATAAGGCAGTATCTATTGTGGTCGTGTCCTCATTAGTATTTTTTATATAAAGAATACTAATAAGGCAGTAAATCTATTGAATTTCTAGTCGTGTTTGAAGCCGTTTAATAAACTCGCAAGTCGTGTTTTATTAGGTCTAAAGCCACTCGCGCTGCGCGCTCGTGGCTTTAAACCTAATAAAACACTCCTGTTCGTTTATTAAACACTACATAAATATCTGGAGCAAGAACTTCAGTCATTCGGCCTATGAGAAAAGTGAAGCCAAGATGGCGGAAATTGACGTCCAAAATCTATGAAGGTCGTAAACAGTTTGAATACAATTTTTCCTAACCAACTCCTGTCGATCGCTAAACAAGTTATAAGTTCATAAAACACAGTACAGTAGAACCAGTGCCTTTTTTAACTATATATCTGGGGGGACAATTGCCCCCCCCCCAGGGAAAGAATTTGCCCCCCCCCCAGTAAAGCCATTTCTGCCCCCGAAGTGCGAAGCAGAATTGCTCATGATTGCTGTCAGAATTGCAGTTGATTTACTTGATAATGAGATTATGCCCTTCCATAGCCTCCTCCACAGCCATCTTGTGTGTAATTCATATTGTTCTTCACCGAGTGTTTCATAATAGACTATAATAGGGATAGATTTCATGCAAACAATCCGATAAAATGCTGGTTCCAAGAAGAATAGATTTAGTTTAGATTTTTAACTGTTAAATACATGTATGCATCATCATAGCATGAATATTTCTTCTCACATTTATTCTGTATCGTATGAAAAAGCAACGCAATTTTGAGAATGCGGAAATGGTGTGTCATAGAAGCTAAAATGATTTAAATGCAACATTTCTGATCAAAATCACATTGGGATTTCCTCCCCCCCCCCCAGCATCATAGAGAAGAAATAAGGTGACAATGAGTAGAAATGTCTGGAAAAATTCATGGAGTAGAAATGTCTGGAAAAATTCATGTCTTCGATGTACTTTATAATCTTCGGAATTCTGCTAGATTTCACCCCCAAAATGCTTGAAATCGCAATTCAGGGACCCTAGATTTCAAAATTTTCCCGGGGGTGGATGCCCCCGGTCCCTCCTAGACGATCTCACGCCTTTGGCGTGAGGTTCGCCCCCCCCCCTAAAAAAAAATTAAGGTCTGGCTACGTCACTCGTTGTAGCTGTACGATTATAGCTACAAAGAGTTGAAGTTATTGTTTAAAGTAAAATATAGGTGAAGTTAATAAATTAAAGTTTTACAAAATCTCTTTTCAGACTCGCGCGTTCGCCATACCTCGACGGCTCATATTTTTCGTTCTGCCTTTTTTCCTGTTTTGCCCCCCCAGGTGAAAATTCCTTAAAAAAGGCACTGAGTAGAACCCCGCTAACTCGAACTCCCAAGGGGAACGAAAGATTGTTCGAGTTAGCGGGGGTTCGAATTAAGCCTCGATCACATTGATCGTAAACGTCGGCGATGCCCATTGTCGGTGGTCATTGATGCATAAAATGTTTTGTGCATTTTCTTCTTCGTTGCTCACAGACAATGGATCGTAGAACATCGCCGATCAATGTGAACCAGGCTTTAACCGGAGTTGGTGTCAGATTTCGTTTATTATGTTAATAATTAATAAGGTATAAAAGTTTTATTATACTGTTCATCAAAATTACAAAAGGTTTAATTGTGCATTCCTATAACTAAAGTTCTTTTGTCAGTAACTTGGGTGATGGAGGAGGCATGCAATTTCCATACAAACTAAAGTTCTTTGGACATAAAAAATATGTAGAAATTTACAAAAGGAACTAAAAAAATTAGATTAATAACAATCGTCGCAACTATGTGTATAATCTTTTAAAATTTATGATCATTTATACACCGATTAATATTGTTGTTATTTGAATAAAAATCCAAGTTACCGGTTGTCAAAAAGCTATGTTCTGACATTTTAAGGTTTGCCGATCCACGACTCGAAAACAAAGTTCGAGTTAACGGGATAAATTTGACCAAGGGAAAACAAAATTTGTTCGAATTAGCGAGGAGTTCGAGTTAAGTGGAGTAAATTACTATAAAAAATAGTAGAGAGTTTGAGCAAGACAACGAAGTCGAACGACGACGACGTGGTTGACAATTTTTGCCTGCCTTGCACATTACTTCGCGCATTCTGAGTTTAGGGTCAGGAGTGAAGACAGATTAGAGATTCATGTCTAGCTGCTTGTGAATGCTGACACAAATCCTTACCCTGATCAGGATAAAACAGCGAGGCATGAATCCATATCCCGTCTTCGTCTTCTGCCTTCGTTCACAACGAATATTTTGGCGCAAAATTCGTTGTGAACTTCGTTCTGCACGAAGGCACAAGGACAAAGACGGGATATAGTTTCATGTCTCGCTGTTTTTTTTCTGGATCAGGGCAAGAATTATGGTCAGTATTCATAAACAGCGACACATGGGAAGACACGTTGAACATCCACCGGTGACGTCCAACTCAGTGTGCGCAAAATAATGTACAGACGGCAAAAATTGTCAAGTATGCCTTCGTCTTCGTTCTTCGGTGTCTTGCTCAAACTCTCTAGTGTCAGATCCAAGGGGAATTGGATTCAGTTCGAGTTAGCGAGGAGTTCGAGTTAAGCGAGTTCGAGTGCGGGTTCGACACACTCCGTGTAGCTTCATGTTAACCGCGCGGACAAAAACAATAGAAAAGGAAACTGACGTCCTGGGCCTAGTCGCGCAAATCCCATGTTGGAGAGCCAATGGCAATTAAGAAATATGGCAGCACACATTTAAATTAAATGTTTAATGTAAAAAGGAGATATTTAATTTCTGGTCAACTAAAAAGTTGATTTTGATAGTAGATACCTCTACTCTCTACTCACATATTTGACGCCTATCACCATATATTTTGTCCCTCCAAACGATCCCAGAATGCACTGTGATCTAGATCTTTTGGGAAAAGGCTAATAGCTCCTTGACTTCACTTATTGGACTCGAGTTCTCATTCCAGATATATGTGGAGCTCACTGGGAAAACGTCGCTTCGCGCAAACAAATTTGCCTAGTGGAAAACGGGCTTTATAGACCATACCTGACTCACATACGTGTTGTCAACAACTCGCATGGACAGAATTTTGTGAATGGTGGATGTAAAATGTACTAAACACTCGTAATTTTCTTGGACCAGGGACTCGCACAGAAAAATATGTTTGCTGCCTTTGCTGTCAGTCTGGTTCATTTCCACCTTGTATTAAGATACAAACACAAGTATATTATTATACTTAGGCAAGCAAATAGTTTCCTCGGTTGAACCAATAACAAAGATCGAAGCGAGGTTGATAGCGATGTTTAAGTTTACTAGTGAGTGCAGTGGTAATACCAGGTTGGTGTCCACAAACGAACATTCGTCTGTGGAGCCAACTGAAGGTGTACCACCGAGGAAAACTGGCATGATGTAACACTTAATATAATAGAAATGTGATATCTTAGATATAATAGAAATGTGATATGTCAGAAGCGTCTGCAGGGTCAATTCCAAGCGAGAATCTATTTTCAATCAAAGCTATTATATCTAAGATGAAATTACTTATCGAAGGAAAGTTTATCGACATATGGAAAAGAAACGAGTACCAGAAATTGATCTGTTTAGTATCAAAGCTATGTCTGTGCCCTGATGTCAACCAAGAAACCGCCGGTGAACTTTACACGAATGAATTTTATGGTCAAAGCGTACCTGATCATATCATTAATTAACCTTGATAATGTCTCGTTAGATGTGTATGCGGATTCCGACTCGGAGGATGACCCTAGGTGTCAAGAACCTGAAGAAATTGTTAATGAAACGCCAAAGAAAGTAAAATCCCCCAGGAAAACAAGAATCAAGTCGCGTAAATTACTGGCGAGTAACTTGACACCCCAAAGTCACAAGGAAAAACATATGAAGGCTCATTCAACTAAGAAAACATATCCAAATTCGGAAGTAAAAGATTTACAACAAGTACTTGAGGCGGTAAATTCTTGCAACAAAAGAATAGATAACTTGGAAACCATTACTGCCAATCTGGACAAAAATTTGACTAATTCTGTTTTTGACTGTAGAGTTGTGAATAATATGGTGTGTGAATTGAAAAGCGAGTTATTCACATCAATCGACAGCAAATTGAAGCACCAACTATCAGTAATGCGAGAAGACCAAAATAGTTTCAAAAATGAAATGGAAGAGAAATTAAAAAAAGCAGAAACAGAAGTGAAACGGCTCCAAGGTCGGGTCAGGTCACTTGTGGAAGAGAAAACCAATCTGTTGAAGCGGATAAAAAGCTTAGAAATTGACAATAAAACATTTAAAGACGAAGTAAGTTCGCTAAATACAGCTATAAAAGTAAACTATAATGATGATATCAACACAAATCCAACGTTAATACAGTGTGAAAATTCAGTTGTTGACTCAACCAAAGAAGCTAATCCAGACGCTGCTGCTAATAATTCTCCCAATATCACTGCTGCCGAAAACCCTGACACCGAAACTCCCAACGTTAAAATTCCGGACAATGGAAATGCTACCAATCATGACGAATATGACTTTGTCATGTTATGTGACTCGAACAGGAAATTCTTAAACATAAGTAAGCTGTGTTCGAGTAGACATAGCAAAATCATTCCCTGTAATACAACAAAAAAGGCCAAAGAAATTCTAGAGTCGCCCAGATTTGATGTCAAAAAAGGAATCATCATAAACACAGGAGTCAATGACCTTGAGAACCTATCTGCAGGCGAGATTGTAAAATCCCAAGTTCAAATGACAAATATGGCGGCAAAAAGATTTCCGGGAAGACAAATTTTTCTATGTGGTATCACTCCAAGAGTTAGATAGAAAAATCCCTGACATTAATGATGACATTGATGAGGAGATCAAAGATATCCCCAATGTTAGCCACGTATATAATGGGAATCTACGTAATGGCAAACTGTACTTTGATGTCAAACATTTGAATAGAAGATTTGGTATCCCCGCTTTGGAAAAGAACATCAAGAATGAGTTGCGTAAGATTTTCGGGGGTAACAGAAAGGAAAACACCAGCACCCAACAAAAGAGTGTACCTAGCAATCAAAACCAGGAAGGAAGTCACCACAGTAATGCAGGTCAAGTTCAAAACTTCGATAAGGAGTTGGGGAGGAGTCCGCAGGAAGATACACAGAATGCAGTATTTCTACCAACGATGACTGGTATTCAGGATGAACGTAAACAGGTATCAAACTTATTGAACCAGTTAATTCAAAGCAACATTAGTACGAACCATCAGCGGATGCAATACCAACGTGTAATGTATCCACAAGTTACTATTCCTCCTCAATTTACCAATAATTATAGATTTATTTAGCATACATATATATTTACTAGACTAGGTTTGCTATCTTATTCAACTGATGGCAAAGCATTTCCTAAAGTTTGCAAGTTGGAATATTGAAGGTTTATTAAGTAAAATCGATGACTCAGAATTTATTTCAAAGGGCTGTCAAAAAAAGTGGGGGGGCTAAAGCCC